TTTCGTTCCCCTTTGAAAACGCGAAGATCTTGTTTATGAGGTCATGGATCTCCCGCAGGCTGGTACGCAAACATTTTAGGCTAGCCGGAGCCAGATATACTGTAGACTCTGCGCGTTGACCTATCCGATAACAAAAGCTCCGGATGGACTGCCGGTACACCGATTTCGACGTGGATAAAAAATTTTCCCGGGGCACCATCACGGGACGAAACACGAAACGCGTGCTATCTCTCTTCTTCCAACGAAAATCTCACATCTTGTTGGACACGGGAAATATCGTTCACGCTGCACAGTGATGCCTTCCGACGAAAAGCTGGCCAATATTCATAATTTCATAGGATTTTTGTAAAAATTGTTATATTCATACTTTTGGAGTTGTTAAATCTGAATATTTTATGAAAAATTTTAAATATAAAATGGCGGTATTCAGAAAATAATTTTAAAATAAATTTTTGTAAATATTTATTGTTTTTTAACTTTTCACAAAATTGATGCCATTAACCAGATAACTGCGTTCGGCGAATATACATGTCATCTGAAAACGCAAAATGGTAATAATTTTTTCAGATACATGTGTAATTTTTCTTCGTTTTGCTTTAGTTTTTCGTTAAAATATATTATAGATGCATTCGCCCGGCGTTTAATGAGTATACACTTTGTTGCTTGATTTTATGGCGCGCATAATGAGAGATTTTTGAAACTAAATTCCACAGTTAACTGGTTAAAACATCGAATTTAGTAGAATGGTGGTAATTTCGAAACGTTTTTGCAGTGACTTTTTACATTTAAAAGAATTATTGCATCGACCACTCTAAACTGAAGTTTTGTCAAATTATAATTTCGAAAATACTGTTAAGTAAGATTGTATCAATGGTTTAGAAAAATTCCCTTATTTTACATTCCATTTTTACAAATATATTAACCTTACTAATGTCAGAGATATCGTTAATATGATTTAATGCGACACACTATATATATATTTGTGCAAATTTGTGCAAATTTTTTCATCGGTACATCATACTAAACATGTTACTTGATATCAGGAAACATGTCCTAGAGTGACACTCAGTGACATCCACGTTGGTTTTTCTTCCGCTTTATTAAAACATGACTTATGAAACGAATTGTGTTCGTTTGTGTCGCGATTTACTGCGCGAATTTTGATTCTGTTGAGGGTCGTAAATCCCGAAGTAACCTTTCTTGACAAATTAATCTTGGACAATTTAATCGATAGCGTTAAATTCCGACTGATGGACTAGTTATTTCGATTGTAGTTCCCAAAACTTAGAGGAGTATTCTCGTTGTTCCGAACGATGGACTCGTGATTATTATGAGCTTACGATTGTGAGTCTCATATGATTGACTCGGTTAAACTTGTATTGTCCCGAACGATGGACTTGTGATGAGTTTCGTGTGATTGACTCGGTTGAACTTGTCGTATGAATGACTGGATTCTGTTGTAATGATGTGAGGTCGTTCCAAGTGTGCTGATTGAGTTTTCCGATTTTCCAATCAGCGCACATTTAAAAATTCGAAGTTTTGGAATACCTCTTAGCCAGCCCCTTTCTTCACAACGGTGGTGGCAATGTCGATGCTTGGGGGATTTCTCCAAGGTTCGACGATGACACGGAAATTTCCTCCAGGTCGACTGTTGACTATAAGGACTGTTACGCACGTGTTTCAGTCGACCCTTCGGAAATTCCGGGTTTATGACATGGCTAATCCTTAAGACGGATGAAACGAAAAATCTAAAGTTATTATACAAAAATGGAAATGACTCGAAAAATAAACTTTACTGTCGCGAACATGAAATTGCTGGTAATAGAGATAGATTCAAAAAAACGTTCAAGAAAATCAAACACCACAACCATCTTTTTATCCAGGATAATTTATTTATTTTATCTGTATGGCTGATATATGCTTATATGATCTATTTTAATAGTCAAGTGTTTTAAATAAGAAATTTGTTAAGAAACATTTTCCCTGGCACATTGAAAGGACTCTAATTTTCGTGATATTAATCCCTTGCCCCATGATTTATTTCTCAGCTATGATTGGTACTACTACTGTACTATTAATAATTTATTAAAAGGAAAGAAAAATTCTGGGCATATTCTATGTGTATGTTTGCTCTAAAATATAATAATTCATAACAGAAGAATAATATTTAATTTGCATTTATAAAGCGGATTAATATTTATGCTTATTAAATTCTATTTGAAAGTTTCACTACGAGCCTTACATGTTATTATAAGTCAAGAAGCTAAGAGCCTTGAAATTTCATCAACTTTGACAGACCATATGTCAGTAACCAATCAATATATTTAAAAATTTTAAACCATATTAGATGCACTGAAGTGTATACAATACTACTGCAGCAGAAAAACGCAGGTGTATGCTTTGAAAGTGCTTCGCGAGCTATAGCAGCGTGATCGTGAGCCTCGCGTTAAATTTAAATTCGCAACTCGAAATTCCCTCTACCGGATTTCACTCGTTGAAATGAGGGCAGATTTTTTCTAGTTAAATAAAACAAAACACTGCAAATCGAACCATTGCGATGGGTGATTGCGATTCATTTGACGCTCATCGATTCTGTTAAACGAATGAAATTGTTTCATCCGAGAAATCGTTCAAATCGTTTTGATCATGTTACTTTCATTTGTGTCTTCCTTTCTCTCTTTTCGTGTGCAAGATTTTTAAAGAGTTGTGCTCATCGTGGACGGAATTTGAAGTTTTTGCTTGGAACGTTATTTTAGGATTTTTTGCGTTATTGTGTTCGTTAGTATTTTTTGGTTGGTGAAGGATAAACTCGTGACCGCATTTGGAAGCGTCTAAAGAGTAACATTCTTTTGGAATTCCTTTTTCATTTCTACTCACAATGATTTGCTAAATCACCTGTAACTTATCCAGTTTGTTCAAATGTAGCTTCGGAAATAATGATTAACTTGTTTTAGATAAAAGCATGAGTGGTGTATTACAATTACTGGAATTGATTCTAAAGTCATGCGATATACTAATTTACAGTTTTCACTTCAGTGTACACAGGTTTCCTCAAAAAGTAAAGTACAAATTAATTCCCTAAAATATATTAAATATTGATTCATCGAGAAACAGTTTATTTATTTATTATCTCGGGAGTTTTAATATTACATTGAAACGATCAATTTTTTCGGACATTTCTTTTTAAGAGATTGGCAACTTTATGGATGAAAGTTGAAATGTTCCAATATGAAATTTTATATTCTTTATGCGATAACAAGATTTATAAATCAAATAATAAATTAATCAAATAAAATATACAAAGTGCATAAATCTAAATGCATAATTTTATGTGTTGTGTTTTATAAATATGTAAATCTTATATATTATATCTATTTAATAGAAACTTATATAATTTTAAACACGCTCGCAGACAGTAAAAATTTAAATGAGCTACAAAAATAGAAAAAATACAGATGCAGTACTCCGAAAATTAAAGTGCGTAATAATTTCAAAAAATTAAGGCTATATAGTTTAAATGCATGATAATGTGACTTATAAATTTGCATGTTATATTATTCATACAATTTTGCATCACACTGAAAATAAATGGTATAGCATTCCCATTCGCGAATGTGTTGAGAAAAACGCATTTATACTTAAAATCACCACAAACGTGAAATCTGTCAAGATTCTATGAATCATTAATTCCACAACATAAGCAGTTGAACAACTACTCATTTGGGTACTTACATATTACGCGGACCACCTTTATTTCCTAACTAAAGATTACACTGGTTAGTCATTTGGGTTAAGTTTTAGATAGTATTTATTTAACCCATTGCTCTATGACTTCTTTCTTAACTATGATCAATGCAACTATGTATCTCATCGTTAATAATTTATTAGGAAATAAAAAATATTTGTTCTTATTCTACGTCTACGTTCACTCCGAAGGTTAACAATTGATAATAGAAAAGTAATATTTAATTTATATTTATAAAGCATCAATAGTACTTAGATTTTTCAAATTCAATTGAAATTTTCGTCACGAGTCTGACATAATATCGTAGATTCAGGGGTTAACTTGCTAAGTGTGGGATTTAGTTTGTAAAGTCTCTCGTCTTGCGCATATTAAAATAAAAAGTAAGGTGTGCATTCTTCAAACGCAGTACGAATGCCCCTAGGGTGTATTTGAATGAAAAACCAAAGCAAAACAAAGAAGAATTACGTGTTTATCTGAAAAAATACAGAATTCATCGTTGAAAGAATTAGTATCGTTTCAAGCTTTAAGATGACGCGTATACTCGTCAAACGCAGTTAACTGGTGAACATGTTGATCGCCACGGTGGTCATCGATGACCAGAGTGTCCAAACTACTTGAAAAACACTTACAAGAAGAAAACCGATGACGAATTAAAATGTTTAGTAACTATATAATAATATAACTTTAGAATTATTATACCAAACCAGCAATAACTAATTCTAACACCATTTGTCTTTGTTATGATACGACAAGTAATATTATATGAGCTGCTCTAAATTCTCGTGGCGGTCAACGTGTTAATATTTTATTATTTTTATTTTATTTCTTAACGAGTTCATTGCATTCGACGAGTATACATGTCACTTTTATAGTCAAAATGATACTAATTCTTTCAAAACTACGAATTCTTTATTTTTTCAGGTATACATGTAATTCTTCTTCATTTTACTTTAGTTTTTCATTAGTATAGATTATAGATTCATGTGCCCTGCGTTTGATAAATATACACTTTATTTGATTTTCGAAAATAAATTCCACAGTTAAAAAATACAAGTTAAAAACGAGGATAGTCCGTATAATAGGTAAGTACTCTCATTTGCATTATATAATGCAATATAACTTTGGGTATTTTTCATTATTCTCAAAGATGACTTATTTCTCTATCCATCAAGATTACGCGACTTCATGCAAGTTTTAAATCGTGCCCAGGCGTTTATCAGCTTTATGGAATAACATGTTCGTTACTATGTTGCAGGTCGTAATCGGAAATTATGAGGTGGCTGTGGATTATCATCCTGATAGCTTTGGCGCTGCCGGCGGCCGTGCCGCGGAAGACGCATCGCAGTAAACCCAGTAAAGTATCATTTATTTTAATCACTCTTCGTTTTCACTTTCTTTCCTTTTCTTGCTAAACTAACGATAATCGCGCAAGGCTATTAAGTTCTCGTTAACTTTTTTTGTGCAATTTTCTACACAAGGCAATTCAAAGAATCTATTTACGGGAAAATATTGCGCCTTTTGTTTAAAGAGATACTATTGTAATCTCTGTAAGAGTGTCGATATTAATCGCGATGGAAATTATTTTATAGAAAAATATAAATTATTGAAACTTTCATGAATATAATTGATGAACGTAGTATTTGCTTTCTCGGATCTGTAATTTTATATTTTTCTCTGGAAAGGATCATATGCTAGCAGTATTCACAGTTCACCTCTTTTTTCTGCAAATTTACAAAATGTCACTGGCCGTCAACGACAATCCTCTTAACAACCGGTCAATTAATTGTTAACACATTATTGACGGGTCACGAGTTGACTCATGTTTTCAAAATTTCATTTCAATTCATTATGTATAAATAAAGTATACTGAAGTTTATTTAGGTTGTTTCATTTTCATATTTAATTATGGAATAATAATGAGTAACATGTGATAGGTTCCGAATAAATTTCCGGTCAACAATCTGTTAATAAATTCCATTTGAAATCCGCCACAAGTCTAACACGATATCATAATACAATGGGTTAAAATGCAAAAGATGTGGACAGAACTTATTTCTCGTGTTAGGTTTCTTTCGCGGATTTATGGATTACTTGTCACATGAAATTTTCGTACGATTTTTACGTGTAAAACATGACGAAATTTGTACTGACAGCCTGTATAATAAGGTGTTTTTTTCTGCGCGTCTATGTATACACGAAGTAGTGTGGAGTATTGAAGACTGAGAGCTGATGACGGATCGTTCGCGAAAGTTTGCGTGAGCTTCGAAATAAGAGAAAAAGAACGAAGGTAAATGAAAAATGGAAAAGATAGGTAGCAAACGAAGAAGTGATGAGATCCCAGGAAATCTCAAAGGGATGGAGAAGCAATAAATCTACAGATCCGCGTGCGAACATTCATGAGAGCTAGATCGTCGAATGTGCGTGAGGATTAACTTGCTTTGGATTAGGTTTGGATTATATCTTGCGCCAAGTCTCGTTACTTAAATTCAGATAATCTAAAACAACAAAAAATAGTTAAACATAAGTTTTAACGATAGAACTACCGAACATTTAAGATGATTAATATTTAATTTAATTTAATTCTTTGAATTAAGAGATCGTAATTATAAAGATTGTAACAATATTTTTCAATTTCTTCATATATTGATTACACTATTCAAGTGAAACTATTTATTTTTCAAATCATTTCGAATATTTAACACTTTTAAGACATTGTTATATAAATAAAACAATTGTTTTCGAATGAGCTTCTTAAATTTTTCTTTATTTCAGTGGAAATAAATTGGAAGTATTCTTAATATTGTATTTAACACTATTTTCACCGAAGGTGTCGAAAAACATCCCTTACAATTGTGAAATTATTTTGTATGTTTAACTTTTTCTCCATCGATTTTTCAACTTTTATTATAATGATTATAAAATTCATTCTAATAATTAAGCATCCTTAGTTTAATTATAATTATTAAGAACTCTTAATTTAACTCTAATAATTATTAATAACATTAATTCATGATCCCTCTGAATGTATACTTAGAAAATAATTTTATCTTAAAATTTTAGAAGGTGTCAAAGGATACTTTTCTATAAAAATACTGTTAAAAGGCATACACTTTACCTTTGATTATTTTATAAATTATTTTATCGATTATTTTATAAATTTATTATTAATTTTGGACAATCCTGCAATACGACCTCAGGAACTGTCTTTTTAATTAATACGATATAAAATATGTTTTCACTACACATTAATATTATTACAAACTATTAGGATTGATAATAAATTTAATAAAGACAATCGATTTTTTTCCATGAAGAAGTAAAAATTATGTATCTTTCAATGGTAAATTCTTATACGTGTAATTAAATTTTTTAGTGTGTCATAAATGCAGAAGGTCCAGAATAATTCTGCCCTGATTTATACAGAACGTATATATTCCTGAATCAGGAATTACAAACTTGATTTATAAAATTCTCTTATCTTAATACATATTTCATATTTACATGTTAGAACACTATTTACACAGTAGCTTTTACGCGCGTCCTTAATTTACGCAGTCAAAAAATGTATTTTCCTGGAAGTTTTCGTGCAAGGACTGAGGGGGAGCGTGCGACCGACTCTACTTTTCCTTATGTACTTTTAATATTTCATTATTTTTGTTTGTTAATCTATTTGAAATAAATAAAATATTTTCTAAAATAATTTTTTTGAAACAAATATGTATTTTTAATACTTATATGTACTAGCTTTTAGTTTTAATATTTTTCCTTTTGTACTGACAGACTTTATTTACGCGATTTTAAATCGCGTAAAACAAATTCACGTGGAACGGATTTTCGCGTAAATCAAGGGTCAGGTGTACGGTGCACGAAAGTATACCGCATCAGAGCCATCAATAACACTACACAGCACACATACAGCGTACCGAAGAGATTAAATTCAAAAATTCTTATAGATAATTGATTTGAATAAACTTTTTGTGGTTTTAGATAAAAATATCAATTAAGGCCGTTTAACTGTCTGAGACATTTATAACTTCAATTTTGTAATAAATGTATGTAGAATGATAATATAAAAGTATCGCGAAGCAATGTCGTTGCAAAAATTCGACGACTTAAGGAAGTTAGAATATTTTCAACGAAACTATTTTAATAGCTTTATATTTTTAAAATATTATGAAGCACGTTTTATATGGAAATTTCTAGAATTCGTGAGGTTTTAAAATTTTGAACGTTATATAAAGAACCGCATTATTTATGAGATGACGACAATATTTTCAACTGCAACTTTTACGAATATTTTCACTTGTTCAACATAAAAGTTTGCTGATCTAAAGGAAGTTGCTTATCAAACACTTGTCCGAGTACCATATCTAACTACCAGCGCATGAAGCCGGCATGTATCAAAGAGGAAATGTTTCGCGTGAGTCCTCTACGCTATCAAACAATAACAAAACGATCAAGCCATGAGTAACGATTAACTCACGGTCCGCCAGCAAAGATCAATCACGCCCGACCATGGCTACAAATTAACACTAGAACTCTTATAAAAGTCAAAACGACTGGTTTCAATTTCTTTGTTTCTCAATTATTGATATCTTAAAAGCATTGAATATTCGAAATGATCTTGAAAATAAATAGGTTTACTTGAATACTATATTGAATATCCGAAGAAACCGAAAATAATCTATTGTTATAATTTTTATAGAGATTACATATCAATCATATTAACCGCTCGGTAGTTCTAGTGTTAATGTGAAGTAGAAACGAGCAGAATTGCAGCAGTGACAAACGAGCATCGAAGAAACGACCCAAGGATAAGACGACGGTAAAAATTGTCACCATAATAATGAATCACATGGTATTATAGAATATTAAAATTGTAAAATAAATGAATAAAGGAAACAGAGAAAAGCGTGCGTGATAAATATTTTTCTATTTGGCTTCCTCTTTCAAGATAAAACGTACGAGGAGAGGTCCAGCAATCCATCAAAAGTACTTTCTTTTCACTTTCGCGGAGATTGTATCAAACGTCGCATTATTAGTACTACGTCGTAGTATTAACTTTACAAACTAAACATGTGGAACCATGTTATCGATCATGGGGTGCATTAATGCGAAGTCACTGTGACTGAACAGATGACCTTTTTTAAACACTGCGTCCTTTTCTGTACTGAAAAACATTCTACACTTGTCTCGATTTTAATATTAATAAGTAAATTATGGATCTTTAAAGATACAAGTGAAATACACTTTTTTAGTGTAATTTACGTTTGCAGTTAAACAAGTTTACTGTTTCCTTCTATAATCTTAAGACGTCAATATTGACACAGGGACATTATTGAATTCGTCTATAAGTTATTATTCGTCATTTTTTCAAGCTTCTTTTATTCATATCTGATATACATTATAGTAACTGTATAAAAATTCATAGTATAATGATGATAACAAAGTGTAACAATTTTATTGCTTATAACAATTTTTAGTAACAAATAAATAGAAATGAATAAATGCAATTGCAAGTACGAACATAATTTCATTCTAAGAATTGTAATTCGAACTTTAATTGTAATTCTAAGGATTTAATTGTGGCTCGTTGCCAATGGGTAGTTTAAAGTGAGGAAATGTCATAAATAATAATGGAAATCGTATGATTCATTACACGAGCAGCAATGCAATTCTGTATTTTCGTACAAAATAAAAAAAAGGGTATTCAATATAACCGATTTTATGTCACATCTCAGTATACAATCAACGTGGAATTAGGTCCAACGAACTCATTGTTGGGTACAAAGACAATTGTTTCGTTATAATAACGGAATGTTTAGCTGCTTGAATACAGTGCTGTGTAGGTATATACACAGTTCATATCGAGGACTGTATTGTATATAGGAAAACAGTTCGTGTTCGCGTTGAAACTCCATTCAGGTTACTAGACGTAGGATCAAAGACTCCATTCGTTTCAGTGTAGGCTGTTGGAAAAGGATTATGCAGAATATCGCGAAAGAGGAATTGTTCAGGGCGTTGGAAGAGAAAAATTATGCGGGGTGTACAAATCGAAGAGCTGTTAAAGATTTTGCACTAGAAAATAAATCGAAAATGACGTATAAACTTTTTCCTATACGAAGTTTTACGAATGTGATTTATTTAAACACGTTGACTGCCATAGTGGTCACCGATGACTATTCCAAAGTACTTGAAAACAATTACAAGAAAAAAGCTGAAGTGGAATCAAAATGTTTAGTTACATAGGTAACTAAATAATAATGTAGCCATATAATAACTAGGTCGAAAAGTGATAAGCGGTGCGTTCGCGCATTTCTCGTTTCAGCACAGAAACTAAATTACACTTTTCT